CTTTTCCTCACTGAGAAAATTCATTTTTCTAGATCAGAAGCGAAAAAATCAGAATTCTGCCTGTAATTCTCAATTTTCTCCATTAGAACTCATTTTTTACGCACTAAAAATACCATATTCTTTTTTATGAAGTTCAAGAAGTTTCAACAATCAAATAATGAAGGTCCTAGTAGGAAGACAGAACTTTTTCTTTCAAATAAAAAGTGTTGAGATTTTTTTACGAAAAAAAAGACAGAAAAGAATATGATGAACCGAAAAATATTATCTGTAGAATAAAAAAATGAAAAGAAAAATCTTTTTTTTATTAAATCTGACTATTCATATTTTTTATTTACTAAAACCGAAATGGGTTCATGAAAGCAACATTCGTCTACTGTTTCATTTAATATTCACCAATTAAGTCAAAATCACTGCAACCATTAGGCAGATGCTGATGTTGTATACGAATTTTTTGTTGATGATGTTGAAAATTTGTTGATATTTCATTAATTTGTTGAATGGTTAGGCTATTCCCTGCATGATATTTTAAATTAATTTTAAATTGTTTTAATTTTATTGAAGATTTAAATATATTTATCCAGCTTTGAGGTAATAAATATTGTAAATCGTTTACTATACAACCATTTAATACCAATATTTGAAGATTTGAACAGACAGAGTCGAATAATAGTTTTAAATGGTTAAAGCTTAGACGCGATATTTTTAAACGTAATGTTTTTAGATTTAATAATGAATTAAATGTAATAGAAGAACGATAACGATAATCTTCTCGCAAGTAAATATTTAGATACTGAAGTTTCGGTAAATGAGGAATTAATTTAAATAAACTATTTGAAACAAATTCTGATTCAATTATAAAATTTTCAATGTTAGATGATATTGCCGATATTGTTTCGTTTCTTAAACCCATTTTTTGTAGACCAAAATTAAATCGACACGTTTTTAACGTTTTAATTTTTAATATTTGTTCTATTATTTCCCTATTATCTTGGCCAAAAATTCCTATTGCATTAATTTGAAAATACTTCAGATGTGTCAAATGTTTTGCAATTAATAATAATTTTAATTGCATTGTGTTGATACTGTTTAATGTTAATGATTGAAGATTGATGTATTGATTGAAATTCATTTGCTTTTCAAAACAATTTGTTAATTTTAAGGATATCAGCTGTTGCGAATGGATATTTGGTAAAATTGTCAAATTGAAATAATCTAATGATTCATCACGAATCAAGTTCGCATATAATTTTAGACGACGATCGACTATTATTCGATTTAAATTATTATTTATATTCCAGAATGAATTGAAAATATCGTTAATATATAAAAATTCGAATATTTCTAGCCAAACATCGTCATATAAATCGTTTACTGTTGTTATATGATTTTCTACAAATAAAGCATAGGCTTAGGCGGTGAGAATTTGAGTACTTCCAAAATTTTCACAATTTGTATCCAGCAATTTCCCCCTCTATAAACTTTCGCTCCTTATTATTCCTCTTTCATAGGAATCAACGGGAGGAGTTACACAAAATCACCCATTTCTTCTGAGTTTGAGATACGCGTGTTGGGCTTTGATATAGACATGAGACAAAAAAGCAACATAGCAGAGATGTTCTAAAACTCTTAGAATCGGAACGGTAACGTTCTGAAAATTCTCTACAGGAATGAAACGACTAGGCACACACCAATACCAATAATTATTGAAAATATTGTACAATATCATTGTATACCCAATATATTGGGACCAATAATATTGGGTGTACCAATAGTATTGGATAATATTGGGCTCCACAATACACCGGATTCCTACCTTTAACCTTAATACCATTTATATTCATAAAAACGTGAGAAAGCATAGTCCAGTCGGGATATATATCCTCATCGAGCTATATATCCCAACTGAGATATAAAAATGTATCGCGCTCGGAATTAGGCATGCACTAATTAATAATTGATGTTAGGGCATTCAACAAAGTCGTTCTGCATCAATTATAAAAAGAAGCACTTAGAACTGCCGAAGATTTCATTTTGTAGGAAAATGTTTGCTCTACTGAACTGAGGTGCACGAAGAAATTTTAGTGTTATCTGTAACAGAAACATAAACATCCAAAGATAATATACTATCGATTATTTTTCTGTGATTTTAATGCGTTTTCGATTTCTCATATTTTCTCTATATATAATCTTAAATTTTTTCTAGCACTTCAGTTTAGTAGAGCAAGCATTTTCCTACAAAATGAAACGTTCGACAGCTCTAAGTGCTTCTTTTTATAACTGATGCAGAACGATTTTGTTGAATGCCCTAACATCGATTATTAATCAGTGCATGCCTGATTGGGTTATATTTTGATTCAAAACGGGATATAGAACCTGTGTTTGTACTGTAAAAGTGGGCTGAACTCCAGCAACACCCAATAATATTGTGAAAACCCAATATATTGGGTGACGAATATTATTGGGATCCAATGTATTGTATTGGTGCATGCCTAGAAACTGCCGTTCTAAATTTTTTTATAGTGAACGACCAATTTTAATCAAGAAAAAGCTGAAAATGACATCTGGGAAAACCTTTGTTTAGAGCGACCGTTCTAAAAAGTCTTACCAATCGTTCGGCGTTACCGGTTATACAACTTAATCTCAACAAAAAGTCAATATTTTGTGGATTGAATCATAATGTTGTATGATATTTTAATTAGTATATTATCGTACGTGACCAGTGGAAACGAATATGTCTTCTACATTTGGAAGTGTTTACTAACTGCAAAGTTATTGCAAGTTGAGAATGACGAAAAGCTAAACGTCAGTACCGAGACCCGCGAAACTATACTCTTTATTCTACTGTAGACAAGAGCAGTTCAATCTATACCTGTATTAGCAGTTGTTTTATTTTGGAATATAGTTCAAACAAGATACAGTCTGTTATAACTGTACCCGTAAACTATTCTTTCTTCTTACTTTTCTGTCTGATATTTTTATCAAGAGCTAATTATTTGCGAGCTAATTATTTTGCGAGCTAATTTATAAATATGATTTCTATCGAACCAAAATTTTTTCATATTTCAAACGTAAAAAATACATCGCGCTGAAATCTTTTTTTAGTCACCGTAACCCACAGTGGCATGTACACAACACTATCAGTGCCATTTTTCCACAAAACAAAAGATTCTACTTTTCCTCTCTAAACAATTCTCTTAAAAAATTTTCGATATTCCTATATATTCCTTTTTTTCCTCTTTTTTCTAAAGGTACCATTGAGAAACTAGGTCCGAATATACGGCGATATATTCGGACTTTCTCAATAGTCACTATCGGTATACCGATAGTACTTTTACATAGCTTTTCAGCAGAACATGCACAAATACAGTATAGATACTGGACTTTATTCTCCACTGGCAGTGACTAGTTGGTGTCAAAAAATTACCACTTTCACTATTTAGTTAAAATTTACCACTTCGCAAAATATGGTTAGGAAAGAGTGCACCGTTATAGAGAAAGATACATACTTGTCTCTTCTTCTTCACCAACTAATACCCTTTTAAATCGTTTTGTTGCTATTTGTTTTCTATCATTAATACGTTTTGTTAATTTTTCTTCCATGCCACTATACGATGAGCATCTCATATTTTTCTTTCAATACCTATTGAAACTACGAATTAAGAAAAAATAACAAAAAAATGATGATGACAATTTACGCTTTTATTAAAGAACGAATTCTACTGGTGAGCAACAAGTTTTAACACAGCTGAGTGGAAAAACTATTATTATCTCTACATTGATAGTGCAATGTCAGATTTCAAGGAAAACTCATGAAGCAATCAACTAGGACGGTTTGCGTTAGGACTTCGTTTTTTGAGAACAAAGATTTTGTGTCTGGTAATGTTATACTTATTTAGCATTTTTATTTATTGCTTTGAAAAGCTCTGTTGCTTGGTAAAAACCAAAATTGTTTGGTGTCGGGTTATGTGTAGTCATTGTGTGCGAAACCACAATGTTTTAAAATACAAGGAATAGAAAAGGCTAAACAAACCAAGCATTTTCAGTGTGAGAAAGAGGAAAGAGAACGAAAACTTAAGCACACGTGTTTTTATGTAAGGTTTTTTCTATTTCATCAAATAGTTCTTTTAAAAATCCAGAGTAGTGTACAAATTTCTTTTCTTTGGTCTGATCTTTTTTTGTAACACGAACCAGTTTTTAAATTGATTACTTCTTTTATTAGACCTGTAGCAACAAATGTAAGTGTTAAAACTTTGATCAAAAAGATACATTTTACATTTAAAATGTTTCTTTCATCAGCTGCGCCAGAACAGAATTCTGTTCTGGCGCAGCTGATGAAAGAAACATTTTAAATGTAAAATGTATCTTTTTGATCAAAGTTTTAACACTTACATTTGTTGCTACAGGTCTAATAAAAGAAGTAATCAATTTAAAAACTGGTTCGTGTTACAAAAAAAGATCAGACCAAAGAAAAGAAATTTGTACACTACTCTGGATTTTTAAAAGAACTATTTGATGAAATAGAAAAAACCTTACATAAAAACACGTGTGCTTAAGTTTTCGTTCTCTTTCCTCTTTCTCACACTGAAAATGCTTGGTTTGTTTAGCCTTTTCTATTCCTTGTATTTTAAAACATTGTGGTTTCGCACACAATGACTACACATAACCCGACACCAAACAATTTTGGTTTTTACCAAGCAACAGAGCTTTTCAAAGCAATAAATAAAAATGCTAAATAAGTATAACATTACCAGACACAAAATCTTTGTTCTCAAAAAACGAAGTCCTAACGCAAACCGTCCTAGTTGATTGCTTCATGAGTTTTCCTTGAAATCTGACATTGCACTATCAATGTAGAGATAATAATAGTTTTTCCACTCAGCTGTGTTAAAACTTGTTGCTCACCAGTAGAATTCGTTCTTTAATAAAAGCGTAAATTGTCATCATCATTTTTTTGTTATTTTTTCTTAATTCGTAGTTTCAATAGGTATTGAAAGAAAAATATGAGATGCTCATCGTATAGTGGCATGGAAGAAAAATTAACAAAACGTATTAATGATAGAAAACAAATAGCAACAAAACGATTTAAAAGGGTATTAGTTGGTGAAGAAGAAGAGACAAGTATGTATCTTTCTCTATAACGGTGCACTCTTTCCTAACCATATTTTGCGAAGTGGTAAATTTTAACTAAATAGTGAAAGTGGTAATTTTTTGACACCAACTAGTCACTGCCAGTGGAGAATAAAGTCCAGTATCTATACTGTATTTGTGCATGTTCTGCTGAAAAGCTATGTAAAAGTACTATCGGTATACCGATAGTGACTATTGAGAAAGTCCGAATATATCGCCGTATATTCGGACCTAGTTTCTCAATGGTACCTTTAGAAAAAAGAGGAAAAAAAGGAATATATAGGAATATCGAAAATTTTTTAAGAGAATTGTTTAGAGAGGAAAAGTAGAATCTTTTGTTTTGTGGAAAAATGGCACTGATAGTGTTGTGTACATGCCACTGTGGGTTACGGTGACTAAAAAAAGATTTCAGCGCGATGTATTTTTTACGTTTGAAATATGAAAAAATTTTGGTTCGATAGAAATCATATTTATAAATTAGCTCGCAAAATAATTAGCTCGCAAATAATTAGCTCTTGATAAAAATATCAGACAGAAAAGTAAGAAGAAAGAATAGTTTACGGGTACAGTTATAACAGACTGTATCTTGTTTGAACTATATTCCAAAATAAAACAACTGCTAATACAGGTATAGATTGAACTGCTCTTGTCTACAGTAGAATAAAGAGTATAGTTTCGCGGGTCTCGGTACTGACGTTTAGCTTTTCGTCATTCTCAACTTGCAATAACTTTGCAGTTAGTAAACACTTCCAAATGTAGAAGACATATTCGTTTCCACTGGTCACGTACGATAATATACTAATTAAAATATCATACAACATTATGATTCAATCCACAAAATATTGACTTTTTGTTGAGATTAAGTTGTATAACCGGTAACGCCGAACGATTGGTAAGACTTTTTAGAACGGTCGCTCTAAACAAAGGTTTTCCCAGATGTCATTTTCAGCTTTTTCTTGATTAAAATTGGTCGTTCACTATAAAAAAATTTAGAACGGCAGTTTCTAGGCATGCACCAATACAATACATTGGATCCCAATAATATTCGTCACCCAATATATTGGGTTTTCACAATATTATTGGGTGTTGCTGGAGTTCAGCCCACTTTTACAGTACAAACACAGGTTCTATATCCCGTTTTGAATCAAAATATAACCCAATCAGGCATGCACTGATTAATAATCGATGTTAGGGCATTCAACAAAATCGTTCTGCATCAGTTATAAAAAGAAGCACTTAGAGCTGTCGAACGTTTCATTTTGTAGGAAAATGCTTGCTCTACTAAACTGAAGTGCTAGAAAAAATTTAAGATTATATATAGAGAAAATATGAGAAATCGAAAACGCATTAAAATCACAGAAAAATAATCGATAGTATATTATCTTTGGATGTTTATGTTTCTGTTACAGATAACACTAAAATTTCTTCGTGCACCTCAGTTCAGTAGAGCAAACATTTTCCTACAAAATGAAATCTTCGGCAGTTCTAAGTGCTTCTTTTTATAATTGATGCAGAACGACTTTGTTGAATGCCCTAACATCAATTATTAATTAGTGCATGCCTAATTCCGAGCGCGATACATTTTTATATCTCAGTTGGGATATATAGCTCGATGAGGATATATATCCCGACTGGACTATGCTTTCTCACGTTTTTATGAATATAAATGGTATTAAGGTTAAAGGTAGGAATCCGGTGTATTGTGGAGCCCAATATTATCCAATACTATTGGTACACCCAATATTATTGGTCCCAATATATTGGGTATACAATGATATTGTACAATATTTTCAATAATTATTGGTATTGGTGTGTGCCTAGTCGTTTCATTCCTGTAGAGAATTTTCAGAACGTTACCGTTCCGATTCTAAGAGTTTTAGAACATCTCTGCTATGTTGCTTTTTTGTCTCATGTCTATATCAAAGCCCAACACGCGTATCTCAAACTCAGAAGAAATGGGTGATTTTGTGTAACTCCTCCCGTTGATTCCTATGAAAGAGGAATAATAAGGAGCGAAAGTTTATAGAGGGGGAAATTGCTGGATACAAATTGTGAAAATTTTGGAAGTACTCAAATTCTCACCGCCTAAGCCTATGCTTTATTTGTAGAAAATCATATAACAACAGTAAACGATTTATATGACGATGTTTGGCTAGAAATATTCGAATTTTTATATATTAACGATATTTTCAATTCATTCTGGAATATAAATAATAATTTAAATCGAATAATAGTCGATCGTCGTCTAAAATTATATGCGAACTTGATTCGTGATGAATCATTAGATTATTTCAATTTGACAATTTTACCAAATATCCATTCGCAACAGCTGATATCCTTAAAATTAACAAATTGTTTTGAAAAGCAAATGAATTTCAATCAATACATCAATCTTCAATCATTAACATTAAACAGTATCAACACAATGCAATTAAAATTATTATTAATTGCAAAACATTTGACACATCTGAAGTATTTTCAAATTAATGCAATAGGAATTTTTGGCCAAGATAATAGGGAAATAATAGAACAAATATTAAAAATTAAAACGTTAAAAACGTGTCGATTTAATTTTGGTCTACAAAAAATGGGTTTAAGAAACGAAACAATATCGGCAATATCATCTAACATTGAAAATTTTATAATTGAATCAGAATTTGTTTCAAATAGTTTATTTAAATTAATTCCTCATTTACCGAAACTTCAGTATCTAAATATTTACTTGCGAGAAGATTATCGTTATCGTTCTTCTATTACATTTAATTCATTATTAAATCTAAAAACATTACGTTTAAAAATATCGCGTCTAAGCTTTAACCATTTAAAACTATTATTCGACTCTGTCTGTTCAAATCTTCAAATATTGGTATTAAATGGTTGTATAGTAAACGATTTACAATATTTATTACCTCAAAGCTGGATAAATATATTTAAATCTTCAATAAAATTAAAACAATTTAAAATTAATTTAAAATATCATGCAGGGAATAGCCTAACCATTCAACAAATTAATGAAATATCAACAAATTTTCAACATCATCAACAAAAAATTCGTATACAACATCAGCATCTGCCTAATGGTTGCAGTGATTTTGACTTAATTGGTGAATATTAAATGAAACAGTAGACGAATGTTGCTTTCATGAACCCATTTCGGTTTTAGTAAATAAAAAATATGAATAGTCAGATTTAATAAAAAAAAGATTTTTCTTTTCATTTTTTTATTCTACAGATAATATTTTTCGGTTCATCATATTCTTTTCTGTCTTTTTTTTCGTAAAAAAATCTCAACACTTTTTATTTGAAAGAAAAAGTTCTGTCTTCCTACTAGGACCTTCATTATTTGATTGTTGAAACTTCTTGAACTTCATAAAAAAGAATATGGTATTTTTAGTGCGTAAAAAATGAGTTCTAATGGAGAAAATTGAGAATTACAGGCAGAATTCTGATTTTTTCGCTTCTGATCTAGAAAAATGAATTTTCTCAGTGAGGAAAAGGAATTTTTGGAAAAGCTTTTCGTAATTTTGAAGCTAAACATTTAGCATCTAACCATGTGAGAATATTGGCTCTAGCACCTGTAGAAAAACCTGTGATAGGTGTACAATTGTGTTCCGTTTTTGAGCCATGGACACTGCGTGGTTTTTTTGTGAATAGATGTCTTGTTCTAAAAATGTTCTAAAACCATTTTCTAATGGTACTTTTGCAGTTCGACAGAAACAGTTTCCGACAGGGTGTTTCGACAGTGTCGAATTTTGAGTCAAAAAACTTCGACGCCATCGAATTTCGAGTGAAAACTTTCGATATTGTTCAATTCCGAGTGAAATATTTCGAGTTTTTGCAAACACATGTAATTGGTACTACATTGTCAAAAAGAAATCTCCTACTGTTTAATCCTCTTGGCAAATCACCAACCAGCTGGGCAACTTGCCATTATGACATTAACAGCATTGTTGTTGTAGATGATTATTCTAGGCGGTGTGCCACTAGGTACAACTATGTCACACTGGTACCGGCACTTGTCACGCCTTTATAACAAATCGTTATCCCATTAATTTCATAAAATGAAAAGTAAAGAATAGAATAGTCCAACATCAACTAATTGGATGCTTTTCTACCAGTCGCCAACTGATTTCTCGCCCACAACTCTTTCTCTTAGTGGAGAAATTCTTGAGCGAGTTAATTCCACAAAACTGCTCGGAGTTTATCTTTTTTACAATTTGAAATGGGCATATCACATCGAGAAAATTGCACGAAATTCGACAGTGTCGAAAGTCTGTCGTATTTTGAGTAAAAACTTTCGACACTGTCGAATTTTTTCAACTTTATTTACAAAAGTCTATGAAAAGCCATTTACGATGCCATATGGCCTGCTGAAAAGACTTCAACAAATAGAACAAACACAAACATTTATTGAATCAACACAAATTGTAACAATCAGCACAAACAATTCATCATCCCAAAGGCAACACGTCAAAATTTAACAATTATGGTCGATAACCATATTAAACCGTAATGCTCTGAGGATGTTCAAGCGTTTACTGACTTTTTCTGTAATATAGTCAAGTTGGTCTTCCCAAGTGAAACATCAATCTAAGACAATTCCAAGATGTTTATGCTGATTTATTTGGATCAGTGTATCACCGTTTAAGACTACCTGTGGGAAATTAGAAGGCCGTCTGCTCGATAAGAACATCAATTCGTTTGTTTTATCAACGTTGAATTTAACTAGCCATTGATTTGTCCGTTTAGTTAACTCGTCTAGGTCTGTTCGTACTTCGCTGGACGACCATGTATCGGTTGGCGATATCTCGTAGAAAATGGGAGTATCATCCGCATATACGTAGAGAAGGCTATTAAGTTGTATTCGCTATGTCATTGATGTAGATCAAAAAAGAGAAGTAGTCCGAAAATAGAGCCTTGTGGTACTCCTGCTCTAACTGTGCCGTACTTAGATAAATGACCGTCTATTCTGACGCATTGTTGTCTGTCCATTAGGGGTGATCGACACCGTTGCAGAAAAAGCTCACTGATTTCGGACTGTTCCAGTTTAAGAGGTAGACCGTTATGCCAGATCCGGTCCAACGCCTTACTGATGTCGCAAAATATCCCATGAACCGAATGACCTTTGCCAAGAGCTAGTGATTTTTCATGAGTGATAGAAGCCAGTTGATAGAAGGTGCTGTCTTCCGTTTTGAATCCTGACTACTTGACTGTAATAAAATTTCTCACAAATCTTCCCAAACGGTGATACGCAACTTTTTCAAGTACTTTAGATGTTAAACTTAACAGAGTGATTGGTCTGTAGGTGCTTTTGATAGAAGAATCGCCTTTTTTTATACAGACAAATAGAGCTACAGGCTCGTTGCCATAATCAAGGAAAGTAGCTATAATCTAGCGAAAAGTTTAGGGGCTCGCTTAGTGGCTTTGTTAGAGTGGTTTTACATTGTTCCAGTATAAAATTTGTAATATTGTCTAAGCCGGAGACTTTTTATTTATAACTGAGAAAGTATTTTCCAGATTTCTTCTTCGTTCGTGCATGTATTATCTTACGTAAATTTTGTTTTTCTTTATGATTTGGCGGAATATCTGAATTTGTCTGCTCTAGGAAACATTCGTTCAAAATGTTAGCTTTATTAGTTGAATCGAAAACTGTTTCGTCATTGTCAGCCAGGGAATGATTTGAACTGTTTAGCATTGGTTTGATAGTTTTCCACCATTTTGATGTTCCTGAGTGTGAAGCTCATATTTTTTCAACGGCTCAACTCACTGCATTAGCTTTCTCCTGAATATGTTATGTAGGTTGACCGACATTGTATGTAGATTGACCGACATTTGAGCACAAAACATTTGGACCCCGACATTTAAGCCCCGATATTTGAGCACGCCGACATTTGAGCACAACGACATTTGAGCACAACGACATGTGAACACCACGACATTTAGGCACAAAAAGCTTTCGGTTTATTTTCGATTCGAATATTATTTATTTCCGTTGGATACAATAAGTTTAATGAGGAATGCTAATAAATTTTTGTGCATATTTTTCTACGATGCTGTTTGACGATATTA